AATCAACACCAGTTCCAGAAGCGAGTGGCGTCGGAGAACCTTAAGGAGGGAGCTAGTGGGCTGGAACAGCAAAAGCTTCGATGCGGAGACCTTCAGAGTGATGATGAGGGGATCTCCAGCGCCTCAGACAACGACTGCTGAAGGCATCACAGAAGAGGTAGAAGCAACACTGGAGGCAGCCTGCGACGCGTCGATGCCAAGGAGTCGCCTGAACAACGGCCGTGCACCAGTCCACCGGTGGAACTCGACCATTGCCCAACACCGGCGAGCATGCCTTAAGGCAAGAAGGCAACACCAGCGTGCTCGTAAGTGAGACAAGGCCTCGACAGAGGAACTCAGACGGAGTTACGAAGAGAAAATGCGTCTTTTCAGAAATGCCATCAACTTGAGTAAACGAGAATATTGGAAGGAACTCTGCGTGAAAGTGGACCGGGACCCGTGGGGTAGACCGTATAAAACGGTCATGCATAGGATTAAAAGCCTACCTGCAACAATACCAACTTGTTCCGACATGCTGCACAGAATAGTGGCACACCTGTTCCCGGAGAAACCAGAACTCCCCGACTACCACCCAGAGGATGGAGAAGTGGAAATTCCTGGAGTGACCATGGAAGAGCTCACGAAGGCCTGCACTAGATTGCAGAATGGCAAGGAACCAGGACCAAGCGGCATACCCAACATCGCACTTAAAAGTGCAATTGCCGCCAGACCAGACATGTTCATAAGCATGTACGACGCCTGCCTGCTGGAAGGCGTATTTCCGACTCGATGGAAGCAGCAAAGGTTGGTTCTTCTCCCCAAAGGGAAGAAACCACCGGACGACTCAGCATCGTATCGTCAACTCTGCATGCTGGATTCGGAGGGGAAGATCTTAGAGCGGATAGTGGCCGACAGATTGGAGCAATACATCGATCCTCAACTTTCTGAATTCCAATTCGGATTCAGGAAGGGGAGATCGACCATCGACGCACTGGAACTCGTCACGAACATCGCAAAGGAAGCCATCTCAGGAAAGAGATGGAAAGGCGCTTCCAAAAAGTATTGCCTTATCGTCACCCTGGACATCAGAAACGCGTTCAACTCGGCCCGCTGGGATCGCGTTTTGGAGGCACTTGAGCACATGGGTGTGCCCTACTACCTACGAAGGATGGCCAGATCATATTTCAGCGATCGACTTCTGCACTACGAGACGGAGCAGGGACCGTCGGTGCATAGGGTCTCGGGAGGGGTACCTCAGGGCTTTGTCCTGGGGCCACTCTTGTGGAACGTTATGTACGATGGTCTACTCCACCTTGAATTACCGGCGAACACAACACTCGTGGCCTTCGCGGACGACGTGGCGGTTGTCCTGGTGGCGAAACAACTGGAGAAGCTGGAAGCCGCATTCTCCACCACCATCAGGAGGATCAGACAGTGGATGCGATCGGCAGATCTGTCTTTGGCGGAACATAAAACCGAGGCAATCCTTGTGAGTAGCCGAAATAAAATGGAGACCATCACCATTAGAGTAGGCGACCACGACATCCAGTCGCTACCCTACATCCGGTACCTTGGAGTGGTCTTGGATGCTAGACTCAACTACAAGGAGCACATCTCCAGCGTGAGCAGGAAGGCATCAGCAGTCCAGGGGGCGCTCTCACGGATAATGCCCAACATTGGAGGCCCCAGGCAAATCCGGAGACGACTACTGGCAACTGTAGTTACCTCCGTCCTGCTATACGGAGCACCAGCGTGGACGAAATCGCTGGAGCTAACAACTTACCGCAAGACAATGTCATCAGTCCAGCGGCTCTCAGCGATCAGAGTGGCGTCAGCATACCGAACGGTATCTCACGATGCGGTCAACGTCGTGGCATGATGTTTGCCCATCGACATCTTGGCAGGAGAACGGCAACGCCAACATCGCAGGAAGAAGGAAGAGCAACGAAGCGTCCTCTGTGAAGAGGAGAGACCCGAGAGTTTTCGTCTCTGGCAAGAGAGATGGGACAGCTCAACGAAAGGTCGGTGGACACATCGGCTGATCCCAGATATCACCAAATGGGTCACTCGCCTTCACGGGGAGGTCGGGTACTACATCACCCAACTCTTGACTGGGCATGGATGCTTCCGAGCATACTTGCACAGATTTAAGAGAAGTGACTCCCCAAATTGTCACCAGTGCCGCGATGTGATCGAGGATGCAGAACACGTGTGCTTCCAATGCCCCTTCTACGAGGGGACGCGGGCGAAACTAGAGAGGAAACTGGAACATCCCATCAGTCCAGAAAACATATTGAAGTGCATGCTGAAGAGCCAATCGGCTTGAAACAGAGTTGCAGAGTATGCGGAATCCATCATCAAGGATCTTCGCACCACGTACGAAGATTAGGTGTAATAACACCAGTAACATCACACAGCAGTAACATCAAATAAGAACGCCCCGGTGAAGTAGTATTTACAAAGAGTGCCGCCGGAGAATCACCGTTCCAGGAGTAGGGTTAGAGGTGCAGGTAGGTTTTAGTGCGGTAAAAATCCCACATAACTCGCCTGGCAGGTTTTTCCAGGCGAGTACCTTTTGAAGGTTTCCCCCTGTACCTCATTAATCTTAATCTAAATTTAAAAAAATAAAAAAAAAACTGACAGTTCGCATAGCAATAAGGTTATTGAAATATTTCAATAGTTAGGTTACTGAAATAATTAATTAATATTGTAATGACAAAATGTAATATCATTTAAGATTTATTTTCACAGCAGATTGCAATTAAAATAATGTAAAGTTTAAAATATTCACAATTTTGATATTTCCAAGTAATGATCACAACTGCAATTCTGCAATACAATGCTGTAATTGATTTAAAAATCAATTAATTGAAATGTTTTATAGCAAAAAATCTGTTGTGAAAATAAATTTTAACTGATATTATATTTTATTATTACAATATTAATTAATTATTTCAGTAACCTAACTATTGAAATATTTCAATAACCTTATTGCTATGCGAACTGTCAGTTTTTTTTTTATTTTTTTAAATTTAGATTAAGATTAATGAGGTACAGGGGGAAACCTTCAAAAGGTACTCGCCTGGAAAAACCTGCCAGGCGAGTTATGTGGGATTTTTACCGCACTAAAACCTACCTGCACCTCTAACCCTACTCCTGGAACGGTGATTCTCCGGCGGCACTCTTTGTAAATACTACTTCACCGGGGCGTTCTTATTTGATGTTACTGCTGTGTGATGTTACTGGTGTTATTACACCTAATCTTTGACTAATGGCCAATTTCTTCACCTTCGGATAAAATTTATCCTCCGGATAAACTTCTAAAACTTGAAAATGATTGGTTAGCTAGGGATTTATCCGGGGGATAAATTTTATCCGAAGGTGAAGAAATTGGCCATAACCCTATATAAATGATTCAGGCCCGCTTCCACAACTCGAGATTAAATGCGAGATTTGCTAACCAAGCGTTAAATCTAACCGCTGCTTTAACGGACGGTTTATCGTACTTGCGTTCCACAGTAGACTTTTAACCGGGGTTTTCGGAAACCTATAGTCCATTGAAGATAAGTCTAACCGAGTGCTTACTTCTTTTCAAATGTCTTCTATGATTGGCTTTCCGGAATGAAGTAGTGGAAGGGATACGTTATTACGCATATCTCTAACGTTCATACCAAATACATTTGCGGCAATTTGTGGTTACACAAACGAAATATCGTCAAAACGAGGTGCTAATTTCTCTACGGTGGAGAAAGAAAAATTAATACAATTGGTGACATCGTATAAGGATATCATCGAAAATAAAAAAAACTGACAGTGTAAGTGGAAAACAAAAAGAAGAGTGCTGAAAGACGATCTGCAATGATTTCAATTCGAACAACATTTCAAACTACCGCTCGGTCAACTCTCTCAAGACTTGCTGGGACAATCTAAAAAAAAAGACGAGGAAACACTATGCTGATTTACGCAGAGACCTTTTCGCTGCAGGTGATTACTTCAGTTGACAAATGTAAAAAATCTATTTGAAAAATTTTACCATCAATTTTAGGTGAAACTTATTTTTAGTTACTCATTTACGTTAACGGTTCAAGCCAATAAGTAGTATTACAGCATGCAGTTTTAATTGTTGCAAATAATGAATTTCAATATTAATTGTGGGATGTTCTTGCAGGTGGAGGAAAATCTCAGGTATCAGAAGATCCAATGTGTGACCGTATAAAAGGCATGATTGATTTGACGGTGACAGGATTCGAAAATCCTTTTGACAGTGAGGAAATGATAGGTGCCGGAACCTCATGTATACTCAAAGGAAGCCCTAATAAAGGAAATTCCGGAGATGAGGACGAATACACATATGAGGTATACAAGTTTATGTTTATCGGCTTTCAAATTTTTGCAGCATAGTTTGCATGCAAACATTTTATGAATAATAATTCTCTATTTATAGATACTAGATGAAGCCCTGGATATGGATTCGGTATCTAATGGAGACTGGGCGAAATGAAATCCTGCAATGTTACGTTACCCACAAAGCCAACCGTCTTAATAAGCTCCTACACCAGCGACAATGACTGATTATAATAATCTCCTTATTAAATTTAAGAAATGTTGAAAAAGTTGTATTTGTTGTGAAAGTACTCAAATATATTTTATACGGATATTTTTGCAAATGAACACATTTTTATTAACTGCAATAACAATATTTCGGAAAGGAAGAGAAACCTCCAGGAAACAGAATCACTTTTAGTGAACTTCAATTCTACATACTTTTATTATATATTTTAGTTCGTCGTGTTTACAAATTCTGGAGTTCGAAAATCAAATTTTGTGAGTATGTTGCAATGAACTTTAATCATACAGAAGATCGATTTTTTTGCATTTCAATTTTTCCTTTGTTTACTATTTCCTATGCTGCTGCAACGGACGTGACTTCAGGGAAACTTGAAGGAGTATCTCTCTCTCTGCGATGTCTCAAGTTTTGTTTTTAACAAATCATTTCTCAATTTTATCTTATCAAGCTGAAACACATGAACATTACAAAAGGTTTCAACGCTAGCAATGATTAAAAATAAATAAAAATAAAATCGAGCGAGTTCGCAGTAACCTTTGAAAGTAACCATTTATTAATGCATTTTGCACATGGTTTTGTACCCTATTTCGATGTGGCCTGTTTAATTCGTGTCTTATTATACCTTCTTTCAAAATGTGTTCCCATGGTGCGGGCAGTTGAAGTGCCGGATCGTCTGGTGGCAAAAGTTCACCAGCACGTCTGGCAATGTTGTGCAATACTGCAGTAGCTACTATCATAGCTAGTAATGTATCCGTTTTCTGAAATCTGGATCCAAGAGCTAAGACTTGAAACCTTCTCTTCCACACTCCAAATGTTCGTTCAATAGTATTTCGAGTTCTAATCAGCGATTCATTATACAGTTGTTCGGAGCAAGTTCTTGGATTGCCCAACGGTGTCATTACATATGATCGCAGTTGGTATCCGCTGTCGCCAACTAATAATCCATCTCCAAATGTATTAGCTTCGAATAAGGGACGTATTCTAGAGTTATTAAATATGTTGCAATCATGAACCGATCCTGGCCAGCGCGCTACAATGTCGGAAAGTTCTAAATTTGCATTGCAAACAGCTTGCACATTTATCGAAAAATACCCTTTTCGATTTCTAAAAACTTCAGCATCGTTTCCACCTGTGTATGGGATATCATCACATTAACTAATGTTTATCGAAATAAACTTTGTATTGACATAATATTGTGACAAGTGTGACACTTACCAAGTGACTGAATTTTAACCCTTAGCTGGATCCTTTGTCTGTGATAACATAGCTGACGAGTGGGGTCGTTGAAGACCCCAAAGAAAATTTAGTTATAAAATCAACTGTTTTTAATATTTTGGCTTGAAATTTTTTTTGGTTATATCTTAATACATATTTTTTAAGATAAAACCTTCTGTAGATCGAGTTTTTTTTAAAGATTTAAAAAATCCTTTAAAATTTTAAAGATCCTGAATGTACGAGAATCGCGATTGAAAAATAGCTGGATCAAATTGATCCCATGGATCCAGTCAAGGGTTAACGTGAGTGCAGTCCATGCTTCCAAGGGCTCTCGGAAAACGTGCAATGTTGAAGAATTTTAACTGTGTATGTTTTACAATCGCGATTGAAAAATAGCTTAAAACCTTCTGTAGATCGAGTTTTTTTTAAAGATTTAAAAAATCCTTTAAAATTTTAAAGATCCTGAATGTACGAGAATCGCGATTGAAAAATAGCTGGATCAAATTGATCCCATGGATCCAGTCAAGGGTTAACGTGAGTGCAGTCCATGCTTCCAAGGGCTCTCGGAAAACGTGCAATGTTGAAGAATTTTAACTGTGTATGTTTTACCTCATTCGGCATTGTAGGAAACTTTATGTAAAGTGGTCAGAGTCAAGCAATTGCAGCAGTAACTTTATGTACTATTCTGTGTGCACTTGTCTTACTGACACCACTGAAGTCCCCAGCAGAAATTAAATGAGTTCCAGTCGCATAAAACCGCAGTGTTAAAAGCAGTTGGTTCATCGGAGATATAACATGGTTTCTAAAAAAAATGTATAATTCTCATGTCACATTAGGTTTGCACACATAATGTGTTACAAGTCTAATCAACAAAGATTTTAATTATATGGATATACGAAGTACTGACTGTTCTCTTCGATGCTCAAGTTCATGTCGTATATGCTGCAGAACTTCATATACACTTTCTTTCGATAACCGAAATCGTGCAGGAAAAGCGATATTATCAAATTCTTCGAAATGATCTAAGCGTCTTCTCACAAATTTTGGCCTTCGATGCACAAAAAAATCTTCGTTATCTGAAGAGGATAACACAGCATCGATAATCCGTCTGTTTGCCATTTTTTTGGGAGATAAATCAATTGTAGCAACAATATGAATAACCATAATATGAGGTTAGGTTAAGGATCCGCGAGCAGCGAGAATGCTGTCACCCATGGTGTAAATGAAGTTAAGGTGAGATCATGCGGCGGACGCGTTTTCGTTCGGTTTGCGCAGGGCAGGCTGACGTCACAAAATAAACATGGCGCGGTACATATGATCATTGTTTACAGTATTCTGCATAAAAAAGCAGCAATAATAAATTGTTTTAGTGTTAAATACTTAATAGTTAGTATTAAAATAGTTAATAAATATGTGTCCATTTAGTTTTCGAGACTGTAATACATGTATGTAGCAGAGATGAGTAGGGAGATTGCCAATGAGCCTGTTTTTGGTGAAGGCAATTTTTCTCTGGTTTCGGCGCGCCACCTTAGCGGAGGGCCCTCGAAGCAGTTCCACGTTTTTGATTGGTCGTGTATATATAGTAATACTACGCGTGATAATCTGGAGCTGTGTTTTGGCGCGTCGACGCGCCACCTGAACGAGAATCTCGAACTAGTTCCACGTTTTTGATTAGTCGAATGAATTCGTGTGTTCCTCGAGATCCACGATTTTAAACCGGGTGAACACTCAAATAGGGAGACTTGAATCCACCCTTTCTTACTGCATATTACATAAACCGTAGTAATAAGGTAGTAAATTTTGCCGATGTTAATTCCCTTAATATCCATATGAAGCTTTGTAAATAATGGAGTGAGCAAATAAAACTTTAAACAAACCCTCGAACGTTATCAAAATTTTTTTTTTAATCAGACCATGCTGCGACCACGGCACATTAAAACAAAAAATGATATGGAGAAATGTATCTATGTTAGAAATGCAAAAGTGTTAAGCGTTAAGCGAATGAAAGGAGATTTTTTTCCATTGCTGTCAATTTTTCTCTTACATCTTCATGAGAGTCCGTATCGCAACAAGTGAGGCTGCTCAGTTCTACCAGCTATGGATTATCGTGTACGAAGAACATGCATTGGGCGCGTTGGCAACGATTCAGTTTCGTAATCGTAAGGTGCCGCGTTCGCGTCTAGAGAGGAA